GAGGGAGGATTTAGCGAAGATTTTCGGAGTCAAGCATTTCCACCGGTACGTCTGGGGGAGACAGTTTGATATCCACACCGACCATAAACCATTTACTTCGCTTCTGGGTGAGGAGAAAGGAATCCAACAGACGTCTTCGTCTGCGCCTATAACTACAAACTTCAGTATGTAAATGGACCAACTAAAACCACTGCCCGTGCACTCAGTCGTATCCCGGAGCAGCACGGCATAAAAACGAATAGTGAACCCATGGAGTTTATCAACTTGATGCGACACCTTGAAAAGACACCCATCCAGAGTGACGTGGTGCGGCGCTTGACTGAGCTGGACTCGGTGTTTTCGATGGTGAAACGGTTCTTGATGAGCGGATGGCCTACAAACACATGAGAGGAACTGAAACCATTCGTCTATGGGAGTAATGAGTTGAGTCTATACCACGGTTGTATATTACGAGGCTCGCGCATAGAAGTACTACGGCCCCAGTTGCTGAGAGAGCTGCATGACGCACACCCCGGCATGAACAGGATGAAGGCGATGGCACGTGGTTACTGTTGGTGGCCGAACATTGGCTAGGATATAGAGCGGCTACTAGAAAAACTGCGAACAATGTCGAAATACCAAATGCGTAAATCTCCCGGACCGATACGTACCTGGTGTTGGGTCCTGGCAGCGCGTACATGCGGACTACTTTGGCCCAATCAATGGGATGATGTGCATACTTGATTGATGCCCATGCTAACTGGATAGAAGCATATCCAGTTCCACATGGGACTTCCACAGTAACGGCTGCAAAAATGTACTCCATATTCGCTGTTCGGTATCCCAGAGACGGTATGCATCGACAACGGAATCCCATTTGCCTTTGAAGAGTTTAGACGGTTTCTGAGTAACAACGGTATGCATCACATTAAGTCTGCACCGTACCATCCCGCGTCGAATGGAATGGCAGAACGTTCAGTCCAGATTGTTAAGTAAAGTCTCCTCAAGCAGACTCATGGAACTCTAAAAACTAAGTTGGATCGCCTCCGGTTATCTTACCGCAGGACACCCACTGAGTCGACAGGGAAATCACTCGCGGAATTAATGTTTGGTCGGCCACTACGAACGAGACTGCACCTACTTTTTCCGAACCCTCGAAGGCGAATGGAGAAAAAGCAGGAGAAAATGTGTAGGGGTGAAAAGATGCCAGAGGAAATGTGTCTTAATGATTTTGATCCGATATACACAAGGCTGCCTAAAGAAACAAGCTGGCAATCTGCTACACTCGTATCCTCAACCAGTAACCGAGCGGTCATCATCGTCATCAGCAGCAGTACATCAGCCATTTGAACTGATGCTTCGTTGCCATACAACCATGATGGACTATGAAATAAAGCATAATAAGAGGGAGAGAAGAGGGACTTACCTGAAAGCCTTAATGCCCTAAGGCGACCCTTGATAATCTGTGCGACGGACGATGCAGGATGAAGTTTATGTTTGAAGAAAATGTCATGGTTGTATGTGGGCTGGCATACTGCCAGAGCGTCCAGACTTAGACAGGAGGACGATTAGGGCCCTCATCTAAAGCCTTTGGCTCAAAAGCCTGTCCGCAAGGTAACGGGGAGGTGGCAATGATTTAGTTTTACAGAAATGGACGCCATCCCATTTCAAACCCCCAACCTGGAGGACCAGGAGACTGAGTTTGTCTGACCTCTCATTATTGACCAACCTGGTAGGAGTAGCTCTCAAGGTGCCCGGAGGCATCATCCAGTATAGCTCAATGGGTCAAGGAGGTACGCAAACCGTCGCACCACGTTAAGGTTCAGTCTCGTTGTGACGGAGTAACCAAGCGGAGCTACAGCTGGAGGAAGGTCGTGTGGTGCGTCACCATTTTGACCATATCCGGTCAAGCTGAAACTAACCACATGAGCGGGATGAACAAGCGACTGCTACTAACCCAAAAACGGAAGGAAAATCTGCTTCACACAACCACGAATCACAAACGGCTGCGGTACAACCACAAGTAAGACGCTCAAAACGCACGCCTAAGCCAATTGATCGGTATCAACCCGGAGTCCGCAGTCTTGACCAGGGAAGAGAGGGGTGTCACGTATGCACTTGAGTATCGATTCGTGAACACAGGCACTCACATGATTGGTTAACAATGACGTGCCTTACTTTTCTTATTTCGTTGGTTTTTCTTTCCGGCTTTTTAGCCACTGTAACGCAGGAAGCTTACAATAAATCGGTTACAAGCTACGTGTGCGCGTTCTGTTCTGTTCATCGGCTAAGGTCCATACTTAACACCCATGTGGTCTGATGAGTCACTGCATAGAGCAGCTGGTGGAACTGAACGCAAGTGTGAAAGCGCTTCCAAACCTAGTTCTGATGCACCTTAACCCAAGGGTGCAGTAACTGACAGTATGCACCTGGATGGGTTCCAGAAAGCAATCGGTCACATAAGCAAAACGTTAACAAAAGCCGAAAGAAGCCACAACCAGCTCGAAGAAACACTACTCATCATATGTGTAACGAGGAAATTCCACAAGATGGCATACAGCCGCAACATTAAGATTTTGACGGATCACAGGCCGTTAGCGCTGGATCCCGCCAGAAAAAGGCCTTCTTATTTGTGCATCTAACCGTCTTAAAGACGGATTTGTTTGTGATATCTGCTATTAATGGACGGTGATAGTACTTTAAGCAGGTGCACTGTCACACCGACTGACTCACGACAGCAAAAACAAATTGACACGTCCAGAGATTCAGTCTAGTTATGGCGTGACGTCAGTTATTTTGTAAATGACGTATTAGATGAGTTGCCGGCTACTGTGAAGCTGTATGGGCTGAAATACTCTGTGATCCGATCAGGTTACATGGTTCCACCAAATTCGTTGAACGCTTTTATGTTCATCAGCCGAACTGCAGCAGTAACTCTATAAAGTGCACTCACTCCCTACTGTAAGCGACTGCATAATACTTTCAGAAAGAGTTGTCATCCCCAAGACCTTGCAAGGCATGGTACAGTAGGTTTCGTGCAGGAAATTCCAGAACCAAATGGATGAAAGCCCTTCCCGTAGTTAAGTGCGCCAGCTTTTCATAAACGAACAATTGGAAAAATAAGCCATACGTAGCCAAAAGCGAGTCACCGTTTCACGGGAATCACAAAAGTAAGAGTTCAACTCATGGCCCATACTCTCACAAAACCATGGTACGGTGTCCATGCCGAGTTGCCAGGGTAGATCAGCGATTAAAATCGTTTAATGCGGTGGGCACCAATATTGAACAGACTGGAAGGTTTCCCATGGGTAGAAAAACAACTAATGCCACACTTGCAAGATAGCCGTATATGTTCCCTAAGTGCAACTGGTCCAAAAACAGGTGTAATGAAGTTTCGAGAGTGTCGCATCATCGAGAACGCTCGCCCACCATCGTTTAGCTCGTACATTACCAGGCAAAAGTTTGTGAAAACATTCAAGTGCGCTCTCCCAAAGTTAAATGGAAAATGACGCCAAGGGAAAGTGATCGACGAGTATCTTTGCCTATGCTGGTCCACGCTAAATATATAGGGACCGAGCAGAGAGCTTTGGTGAAAAGAAAGCTCTTCGACCAGTTCTGGAATCCTAAAGTAATGAAAATAAACGCAAAATGGAGCAGTGCTACAATCGCAGGGCACAAAGGAAGACAGTGCGCAGCTAAAGTTAGGCAATCATTTTTCGCGCATGATAACCGGAATAGTCAGACAACATAGACGCTAGGCAAGATCAAATGAGAGTTTGGTAGCATTTTTGGAACGGTACCATTAGGTCGAAAACGAAAGTTTCGCTGGTCAAAGGTGATGAAGGCAGCTGAGTTGTCCTTTCGTTTGCACATGGATAATTTCAAAAGACGTAAGATCGCCACCGATAATACTGAGCGGAAAAGCGTAGCTAGAAAAATGTTGCCATCTCCGGGGACATCTCGACAAAGTGATGGACTAAGAGACGGAGAGTATCGGCTTCAAGGACACAGGTTGATCCTCGGAGTTCCTTCCAGTATAGATATCAACTAACGAAGAAATGTCGAGAGAAAGCAAAATCGGAGAGATGAAGCCGACAGATGATATGTAGTAGAAGTATCCAGTTCGTATTCGAGGAGTTCTGGCAAGTTACGCTGCACGCGCACCTATGACGAATCGGCTTTAAATTGTTAGCATCAAGATCGAAGGTGGTGGCGCTAGAAGCGAAACACTTCGGACTAAGTGCATCGTCTCAGTAACTGCCCTTTTCAGTAATTTTCGGTGTGTAGGTCATTGGTTCTTAATCTTGACTAAAGCAGCGTCGTACGCAGCAAAGACGGAACCGGACTATATGCCCCGACCTCAAGAGCGCATCAAACTTAGACCGTCGGTGCATTTGCCTGAAGTGGTATTCCCAAGAAACGCGTACCGATTGTCACAACAACTCATTTCGTGCCAGTCACCAGCGAATTGTCTGACACGATTTGATGATAACAGCGCTCACTAAGACCATCCCATTTCACCACAGCCATTCACTGCTGTCGTCGGTTATCTTAATGAATATTCTTCGTAGAATCGCATGACAGTGGTGTTGCCATGGTATGCAGAGGAGAAGCAATTAGCTGGATTGTGGACGACATTGTCCCACTGTACAGGAATCGCCAAGCAGCAGTTTGTGCTCTGGACAAGCTATTTCTATTGGCACCATCAGTGAGACACACTATTCGGCTGTACCTTGAGTAGTGCTGGCATTATGTATCACCGGTGGGTTCGCAACAATGGGCTGCAGCTGCGATTCTTAAGTGGCTGTGTTATGGTCATTTCCTTGGGTAGAGTATGAGCTGAATTAACTGCGCTGGCCTAAGCACGTGCTACATGTACACTGGTGATTAAGTTTGCGATATCAGCACAGTAAGAAAAAGATTTGAAATATGCGCTACAATAAAATGAAACGTGACTGAAAAAACATTACTAAGACCGCAACAACCAAAGTAGTGAGAATTTAGACTAGCAACCAACTCACGGAATATCCACCAGGAAATCGAGATTGTACCATTTCGGTCACCAGTCTCAAGGCTTCCTTGACGATATCAGGGCGCCGCCGTGCGCCTGTGAAAATAAGACAAAAACTCACACCCTAACCTGTGTAACTGGCAGGACCGGACTTCTTATTATTTCCGAACACCAAAATGGTTGGAAAACCTTTGACCCCGTAACGGGCAGAAAGTGACTGGTGTTCCTCAGCGTTGACGGCGGCAACATGCACTACGCCCTAAAAGAAAATTGCAACAAAAGTGTAAATCATACAAAAGGAGGACAACTTTAAGTTGCGTTGCCGCTTGCTTCCATTCTGGGGCCAGATTCTGACAATGCTTGCACCAGGTAGCATAGAACTCTACGAGCCACAAGGAGTCACTCGACAATACTTGATCAAAGTTCGCTGGAGTAAGTTGAACAACGTCGTCCGTAGGTTCGTACAAACTCAGTGCAAGATGGGAAAAAAGAGAGATGTAACTGCAAACTGAAGCAAAGAAAGAAATGAAGCATGAGTAAATGACGAACATTTAACAAAACGTTCAAGTCAAAACGATAAGGCGCAACTACTCTATCCGTCCAGAGACTACGAAACAGATAGCTAATTAATCTATAAGTGGGAATCTTGCCACATGCTGAGGCTGATGTTGCATTCACGATGCTTCTTCACCGCAGTTGGGCTAAACCAACTAGGTATTTAAGCTGGATAAATTTCATTCCACTTTATTTGGTTTGTTCCACCTACCTGAATAATCTTCTATTCACTTGCACACGTTGCTTACGCCAATTGTGGTTGTCGTTGTTAACTTTATCGCATTTTTTGCATTCTTTGATTAACATATGGGTCTTTTGTACTTATCGCGGATTCGTTACTAACCAACTTACTTCATATGCTAATTTAGCTAAAAGTTATGTCTCCATAGCCATAATCTTTAACAGATATACTTTTTTGATAATGTTATTTTAAGTGATTGGCTGTTGTTTGACATCCCAGGTGTGGCTGCACTTGATGTGCATGTTGACAAGGTGCCTATCTGTCTATTACCCACTACCTCGTCCATACTGGCTCTAGGAGACAGTTGGTCGTTGCTGGAGGGGACGGGGTACACAGTCCTTGTGGCCGTGCTAGGCTCGAAGAGCGGTTCCAAGCACTCAGCGTGGAGCGGACCACGGTCCAACCACCGCATTGTGTGCGGCTGATTCCCAAATACAGCGTGCTTGTGTTTGCCTGTGAAGTGATGTGGGCCGGCTCCGTTGATGAAACCTGGCTCCCATCCACATGCCTCCCGGTCTTATACCTTCGGGTTTACACTAGATATGGGGTGTGTGGTTGGAGCTGTGGGTGGTGCAGCGCAAGCCACCCATGATCCCTCTGTAGACGCAGGCGTCCTGTGGCTGGTCACAGTGATAAGAAAATCCGAAACCGCATGCCGCCAACCATAAGTGGGAACCACACAATCACACTCGCTCGTGTTCAGGTAACTGAGAAACAAGAGAACACAACCAACGTTCCATCCTGAATCAATCAATGGGCTAAGGTTTGGTAAGTCACGGCCAGCAAGTAGCCCCAACAGTTTTCCCGTTCGGATCGATCACGTGGAGTGACAAAGAACAAAAATAAATTCAGAAAGAAAATGGCGACAATATCAAAATGTCGGGGAACACAAAAAACAGAAATGTTCAAAGGAGGTACTATTAGAAGAGAAGTGTATCGGAAGAACCTTAGCGAACTGATGCTTGCTCTGAAACTGATAACGCCTTTATCCGTCGTCAATGCGTTTGTTCAACTGTACTAATCAACTCAACAAAAATCGGTAATGCTGACAAAACCGCGTTTGCTCGTCCTGGGATGCAGAGAATTGTCCACGTAGCCCAGCAACTACAATACATGCCTAACCACGAGCAAAAGTGAACGCTCAGAATCATTCTCCGTCCACTAATAGGTGAGCTTGAGTGGCTGTCTTCTGATAGATCGAGCTTACGTCAGCCAATCAATTTGTCACCGTTGGCTTCATTGTGCATTTAGAAACGTAAGTTCACTAATTAGACTGATTGTATTGTTAACCCGAAAAGGACTTGCAGAAGAATACCGTATAGAATTATTAAGTCTAAACCCAAAATATGGCTCTGATCACTCGGAAATGCCTCCGATGACCAACTATGGCGGTTAAAAGAAAATTGTAGAAAGGTATGCAAGTGAAGAGGACAGTTATTTTATTACCTAGATACTTTATCCACAATCATCAAGATGAGTTAATCGGAAGCGGAAGTCGACACTGTTCTCACTTGTTGGTGGGAAGGTCGACTCCGACGCACGGTAAATCCCCTGTAGCTGAATCCAGGGAAGATAACAGCCACGAGTAACCACTCTTTTAAAAGTGGTTAGGAAAATTTGTGTCCACAAGCATCCATTGCAGTTTCCAATTTCCCGACTTGCCCGCTTCATAAAACTGGAGCTCTGACTGGTCCGCCTATGATTAGTTTAATGGTTCGCTGAAGCTGGTAATGGCTAGATCCTGACGGATGGTCTACCCACTGCTGCTACCGTTGTGCCATTGGCTCATTTTCTGGACGGTTCCGCGTTTCGACCGCTGTGTGGGAGTTGGGCTACGCTCTTCTCTCTGTTAAGATCCAGGACACCAATCCGCATGAGTCAGTGAACTGATCATGTGCTAGACCCACTGCCTTTCGGGTGTTCATTTAATCGAAGGCTTTGGCTGAGGACCCGAGTCGTTCTCCTGTCAGGTGCGGGCGCCCTGCCAGTATCCTAGTCCATCCTCTTCGGAGGTTAAGAAGTGGTCGATGGCCCTCTTGCCCTAAAACCTAGCCATGGGAGACAAGAGGCCCATGGGCTATAAGCTCACCGCTCGAGCGCCACGCATCGTCTATGACGGTAGGAGGGCAACTCCGGGTGCTCAATGGTTTACTACTGCCCGCCTCAA